CTAGCAACCGTAGGTTCACTGCCAAAATGTCGTTTGACCTGCTTTACCTCACATTGGTTACTGAACAAAGTGTTTTTTGAATATTGTTTATTTAAATAACTAATGAAGGGTTTAAGCAAACCTTCAGTCCAGGTTGAACTAAATAACACTTTAGTAGCATCTGCCATAATGCAGTACTAATGAGCAGCTCCCTATTAACCTCAGACATTTGTTTCACTGTTAAATCATCTGCAGTTGATTTTTATTTCCAGTAAAAAGGCACATAACACTCACTGCTATAACACAGTGTCACATGGTGTCTGAAGAGTATTTTGTGCCTGGATGTCTGTGTGTGTGATGGTGTGTAGTTTTGTGGTCTTACACATGATACTAACCTGTTTGTTCATGACCAGGTGTGACCAGAAGGAGTCCACGTACACCACTGTCAGACCTTCAAGGAAGCAACACCATCAATGAGAGATCACCACGGTAAGAGTCTGATGCTGCCATTTGAGGTTTGCTCTAAGATTTGTTGTTTCATGCCCTTTAGAAAACTTCCAATCACTTGTCAGGTGGTCAGAGAAATGCGTATATCTGAAGAAATGCACACAATTCAAAGCCAGGTCCTCCTTATGACCATCGGTGTTGCAGTACTCGAGTCCAGCACTCGGACTTGAGTCTAGATTTTCAGGACTTGGAACTCAACTTAGATTTGAGCACTGATGGCTCGGATTTGGACTCGAACTCGAGCAGTGACTGCATTCGGTCTCGAAAGTTGGAGATGAGAACTATTCTTTTTCTTTTTTTAATAAGACTAATTTGGCCTAAGAAATGGATTGTTCATATTTTAATGTCTTCAGTCGTCTAATTGTAAAATTGCAATGTATTAGCTTGTTTACGCACACTGCCTACAGTATTTTTAGTGGCCTTTGCATCAGTGCCAAAAACAAAAGTCATCTCCTTTATGTGGTTTTGAGTGGCTGCACAAAATCTCATTCCATACATTAACTATTTTAAAAAATGAAATGGAAATTAATATAGTTGCCAACCTGTAGATGGAAGAATTTTAGGACAAAGCCCTGTCTTCCTTCACTGGTTCTGCTACGTGGATGACACATGGGTTAAAATCAGGACCCAGGAGTTGGAGGCTTTCACCAAGCATATCAACTCTGTGGATGACAACATCAAGTTCACTCATGAGGACGCCAGAGATGACTGTCTGGCCTTTCTGGATTGTGCAGTCCACTTGGGAGGGGACAGAAGCCTGAAGCCTATATCAGAAACCTACACATACGGACCAATACCTGCTTTTTGACTCACACTTCAACACAAACTGGGAGTCACCAGAACTCTAAATCACAGGGCAGAGGAAGTGCCCACAACTGCAGAAGGGGGCTCAACTCGGACTCGACTCGGATTATTCTTTGGTGACTCGGACTCAATTACTGGGGGCTGGACTACAACACTGATGACCACATTTATAAAACTTTACAGATGCATGTAGGCACTGACTGGACAATAGCACAGTAATATTCATTGTAGGAGTATTATATTCAGATTCAAATGCACAGTTTTTAATATTCTTTTGTCCGTTCCAATGATATGCAATTGTGTAGTGGCGCAGTGAAATAAAATGGTTTTTTTCCATCAATTATACAGTCAATTTAGATTGAAGCTTCGTGTTTTGTTTTGTTTTTTTGTTTGTTTTTTTTGTTTGTTTGTTTTTTTTCATGTTTTTTTCACCTTTTTATTTTGTTGCTTTGGGTTATTTACTCTTGCTTTTTTTTAACAAAAGAGAAAAAAGATTATAAAACTTGAGCAGTGCAGGGTAGAATTAACTTCTTGTAAACCTCATGTTTGGTTTTGTTTATTTGACATTATATGACTATATTAGTGAGTCAACAGTAAAAAAATAATAATAATGATGGGAGCAGAAATGGGGATGACAGATGTTGGGGGTTTTTGTGAGAGTGCTCAACCTTAGGCTTAACCCTAAGTGTTTTTGTAAACTTAGTGTTTGATATCTCAGGCATATTGCAATGAGATCTAGAAAAGTTATTGTCACCAAACACCTTAATTCTTGAATTGCAGTTGCTCTGTCATTATTTTTGATAATATATTTTAGTCATAATTCAGTGATACTCAAGTCTGGCCACTGAAACGTGGCATTCCTTTAAAAAAACAAAAGCGCGTTGACCCATCACCTCCTCTAATTAGCTGTGGAGTGTGAGATTAGCAGCCCATAACCAGTAGCATAAAGCAGCTCATACAAGACGCCTTTTGTTACATAGGAGCTCAGTCTGTGGCTGTTGAAATCTCCCCCCTAATGTGATTTGCAACTTCTGCCCTCCTCCTATGTGTCTTTCTCTTACTCACACACACTCATCCTCCACATACTAAGAGAGCTCTAAACCGTGTGCAGCTGCTTCCTATGATGTAAAGTCAGAGCTATGCATTGGAGATGAGTGCCCAGGGACTGATAAATATTCAGTGCCTTCAGGCAGAGGTGGAAAGTAACTAAGTACATTTACTCAAGTGCTGTACTTAAGAACAGTTTTGTGGTATCTGTACTTGAATTTTTTCATTTTCTGCTACTTCATACTTTGGCTGCACTACATTTTACAGGAATATGTTGTACTTTGTACTCACTACATCTATTTGGTAACCTTAGTTACTTCTCAGACTGAGATTAATTAAACAAAAAAGACTATATTATAAGACTTTATTGATCCCCGGTGGGAAATTCACAAGCTACCCAGCAGTGTGTAAAGTACTTCAAAGTATATTCGTATAAGGTAGTTAACATTTACCAGCTGTAACATTTATTGTGATGTACACAGTAACACATCAGTAATTATAGTCTAGTAATATTATATAATGTATATATGAACGGTGCCATTCTGCATAATGAGTACTTTTAATACTTTAAGTATATTTTATGCTAATACTTTTGTGCTTTTACTTATGTAACAATTTGAATGCAGGACTTTTACTGGTAACAGGATATTTTTAAACTGTGGTATTGCTCCTTTCACTTAAGTAAACAATCGGAGTACTTTTTCCACCACTGCCTGCAGGGTGCTCATTGGCTGTACAGGGCAGCAGGCAATGCAGTGCTTTATGGTGCTCTCACTGAGACTATGGAGAAAAACATGCACTACAAAAGCCATACTGTACTATCACCGTTTACTGAGACCAGTGATCTGCTGGAGAGAAATTCTCCATTTGATTGGCCAGATGCAAACAAAAGATTTGTGCTTATTCTTTTGTACATTAGAAATTATTTCCTGATTTGTACATATACAGTAAATAACCCTTAAATCCAAAGAATATGATTTACATACCGCATCTTTGTGTAAATCTGCTGTAAATTCTAATAATGTAATCCAGACTTGCATCACAAGTCTTAACCTGTACGGCTCCTCTGTTATCCATGTTATCATGCTAACATGTTGACATTTACTTATTAACAAAATAAACACAAAGTGCAGCTAAGGCTGGTGAGAATGTCAGTTTTACAGATATGTGACTATATTGTCGTTATGGTGTTAAATGTAAAGTAAAAAACCTGGAAAACTACTGCCCCTGCTGGTAACATTCTTTGTGGGAAAATATCGTCTTTACAAATATAAAATAAAAGGGACTGTTTGGTGAATTAGGCACAGGTGCACACCTCTCTAAAGTTCAGCTACTGCACATCAGGTCAGTTCAGTATATTCACCGTTATGCAAAAAGTGCCACAAGGAGAAAGCCACCCTTTTCCACAGCTATGCAGTATTGTGCTGAGCTGCTTGGTATTTGTTATGCCTCAGACATACACTCATCAAACCGTATATCTGAGGAACTTCACAAACTCTCCCGTCTGTCTCATTACTGCAAAAAAAAAAAAAAAAGCTCTCTTAACCGTGTAGGAAAGTAAAGAAACGCCATCTGATAAGATGTGGCTCATGGCTGAATGAATGACATTTTTTGGGGAAAAGCCAAAATGTCAAATATGAATGTCTTTGGCAGCCTGTTGCACAAAATTTGCGTTACAGTACTAGAGCTGGAAACAACAACAGTATAGTGTGTGATTGTGGCTGACACTGTGTGCTTTAATAATCCCTGTTTCATCATCTACTGCTTGGGTCTTAATTTGCTGTTTATGTAATTACAGTTCCAAGCTTCATGTAATGACCGTAAAACCAATCACAAGTCAACTTTTTTTGAGATAACCTTGGAAGTTTTTTTTCTGTTGTTATTCTTGGATGAATTTAATACATTCCTTGCTCTCTTTACTAACAGTGGGTTCTGTGTAGAATTAACAAAATTAATGAAGCCAACTGTTGAAAGGAATTCAGAAAAGAAAATTCCTTATTTGCTTTATACAAATAAATGTATGCTGAACTATATTATATTCTCTATACCTATTATGTCTATCAACATAGATATGAAGTTTGGTTGGATACAAAAGTGTCTTCATTTCAGAAGTTTTTATTTTCCTAAAGTAATAACTTCCCTGGTCTGTGTGTGTGCTTTTTGACTAAAGGCGTTCTCTGGGGCTCGGCTGGAGGGAAGGCGTGGGTCGACAGAGTCGCTTATCATCCGGCAGCTCCACAACAGAAAATGACATCACCTTTGTCAACTCTGCCAGCAGCAAACTCCTTGAGAGGGCTCACGACATCCTCATGTCAGTAACAAGATACAGCTGCAGTCGCCATAATGCTTTACTGTTCACGCTGATTTAGAGATTGTACACTCCCGTCACTGTAACGTATCTTTGCTGATGGTTTTTTTATGTATTCTTCCTGATTGTAAAATGCAAAACCGTTTTTAGCATTGTTTTATTCTACTGTTATTTGTTATTTTTGCCAGCTATGTGGCCTAGAGACATCCTTAAAACTTTAAGATCTGCATTTTAACTTCGTGTCAGTGCCCTGCTGAAGCGCCCTTCAGCAATTGCTGCATTCCTACCAGCTCCAAGGGTGCTGTTGTGTAGCAGACCCTGACCTCCGAGCTCCCTGTGGGGGATGAATTCATTTTCATTTTATTGACAGGGATGTGACAGGGAAGAGTTTCTGCAATTAAATCAGTAGTTTGACATTTTACCTGAAAAATAGGAATTTTATTGCTCTGTGCTCAAAGCTTACTGATTAGACAGCTGACTGACTTTTTTTTTTTTTTTTTTTTTTAAAACAGGAGGAACAAAAACTACAAATCTAAACCAGTTCTTCCAAAGGTACAGTACTGATATTTTTAATTTGACTTAATAGAAATGTAATGTAATGTAGTGTTAGATTATCTACTGACTCTGACTTCACATCTGCAGCATTTACTGAATGTGAAGTCACTCAAGTACCTCAGCAACCTGACACTTCATGACCGCATCACCAAGTCACTCCTTCACCTGCACAAGAAGAAGAAACCACCTAGTATCAGTGCACAGTTTCAGGTCAGAAACACACACACACACACACAAAGCCTGTAGCATAATGTAGAGCTCGGTGATTTTCCATTCACTGCTCTCAGCGTAAAAATAACATGATCAGCCTGAGCTGGATCGAGGAATCTTCCTCCAGCTGTAAATAAAAACAAGGTGTCCTTTACAACTGGCTGTTGGTGGAATCTCCACCTGCCCATGGTTTTTACAGCCCAGTTTAACCCATGTACATGGCCACAATGTACGTGAAGTCTATTACACAGTTCACACAACTACCCAAAAGTATTGTATGGTGACGTGGAAAACTAAGAAAAAGATTAGAATGGGGGGAAAAAATCTTGGTGCTCCTTTTAGTTTTTGTTAGCAGTGTTGTCCAGAATATGAGATAAATGAGACTGACAACTACCATCTACAGTGAGAATATTTAGGACATTTTAGGTCAGAAGTATATGATAAAAGCTCTCTTGGCAGCCAGTAACACACACCATCTCAGAAGACCTTGCAGCAACCAAAAACTGCTCTTTGAAAGGGAATTATGCACTCTGACTTCTTGGAGGTGGAAAGGAGTGCTGAGGCCCTTCTGGCAGGCAGCCCTGGCCCCAGTGTGTAGATGACTTCACTTCCCACATCTTGTACTGTGCTGATTGCTTTAATCTCCCATGGATGGGGCGGAGACGGAATTCCTTTTGCCACCAAATTAACACACACATGCTGACACATGCGCATGTGTTTACATTCACACACAGGAGATGCTACACACATGGATGGTTTCTTCTTTCTTTCTTTTTCTACAGAGCCACATGCTTATACAGATATATTGTTAGTATTTATGATCCTTGGCAGTGACTTTAATCTTGCCTGGAGTTTTACTTACAGATGGACTGACAATTATTCATGGCTGACAGAGCCACCTGACTTTGAAGACTGCCCTTCAAGCAGCTGTGGAGCAGCAACAGCAGTGTGCCTCAGCTTTAATATTTGGACTTTGTGTTAAGTTTTATGTCTTACTGTGTGTTTGTGTCATCCTGAAGGCCTCTCTCAATAAGCTAATGGAAACCCTGGGTCAGTCTGAGCCTTATTTTGTCAAGTGCATCCGTTCCAATGCTGAGAAGGTACAGTGTGCTCACTCCAGCCTGTGGTCACATTCATTTTTTAGTTTAGTTTCAAAGCATTTGTCATTTTCAAAGTTTAAAGCTATCATTTAGCCCTCTTCCCTCTTTAACCACTGTCTCCTGTTGCTCTTTTTTTCTGTCTTTCTCCTCTTCTCCTCAATTATTTTTCCCCTCTGGTTTTCTTTCTCTCTCAGATGCCGTTATGGTTTAATGATAACCTGGTGCTGAGGCAGCTGCGTTACACAGGTATGCTGGAGACCGTGCGCATCCGGCAGTCTGGCTACAACGTCAAGTACAGCTTTAAGGTAACACACACATGCACCCTGCAGATACTCTATAAATATCTTAGTCCAGATTTAGCTCACTGAGTAGCCAGTGGTGCAGTGTAATAATTAGATTTTCTTGGGCACTTGTACGTAAGCACACTTTTGCGATACATTTCTTGTGCTTAACTCGAGTCCTTCAGTTTTATGCTGCTGTGTACTTTTACTCCAGTAGATCTGAAAAGGAAGTGTTGTGCTTTTTACTCCACTACATTTATTTCAAAGATGTGCAAGTTTTACATACAAAGCATGTGAAATGTTAATATAAATGTTGCTAAAATGTTGTTAGATTTTAGCTTGTAGTGTTTTTAAATTGCAGCATCAGTACTTTTAGTCATTTATTTTAATACTTTTTCCACCACTGGTTGTAGCCCATACATCTACTCTATGTAAAGTTAGGAAAAGAAGCTTGCAAAATCACAGCAGCAAATGGAAAGCAATGCACTTTTTTTGTCTTTAATCTGGGTCAAGCTTCAAAAATCCTGGATTCTCGATAGCATTTTGTTGTTAGACCCGACATGCCCACATTTAAGACTAAACAGCCTCAGTTTGTTGGCTCCAGCCCAGTACAAGAGCTCTTATCAGACATGACTCAGTTCCCCCAGAGCCACATTAGTTTTCACTAGCTGGGCTGAGTAATACTGTCGTGACTGGTTGACTGACCTGTACATGAAAAATTGGTGGAGCTCCCATTTAAAGTGTTTGGTTCCTCAGACTTGTAAGAGACCCACTTCATCTATTAGATTTCACTCTTCATCAAAAAAAAAATCCAAGTATAATGTTTTCCAGGCAGTACAAGTTCTGCAGCAGATCACATTAACATGTTCCCTCTGTGCAGGCATGTGCAGCCTCACTCACTTCCCAAAACTTTAACGACACTCAGATTTCCACAAGTTTAGGTGCCAGCGATGAAGTCCTCTCCAGGAAACGTTGCAGAATTTGTTTGAGCCCAGATTTATTCTGTGTCATGTCAAGAGGGAATTATGGAGGATGTGAGGCGGTGGCCATCTGAACTACACTGGCTTCCATCAGTGTGATGTTGATGATGTCATCCCTGTGAGAAATACTGTATGAGTATTAAAAAAAAAAAGCAGATCATGTTTAATGTTGACTGAAAGCAAGTGTTTTTTGCAGAACATTTGGGAATGTCCATTTGTGCCAGCCATGTCAACCCTAAACCTTAGTTTATAAAAGGTTTGATGAGATCACTCAAATGTTTTAGCATCAGACATGATCATTTACCAGAAATTCTGAATTAGAAGCATAGAAAACATATCTAGTGCTGTGGTCAGCACTAATGAGAAATATCTTGGGCATGGTATCATTTTGGAGGACTCTGCTGTTTCCCAACTCCTCAGAACAGAGCCTCTCCATTGTCCTCGGGTCTCTGAAACACTCCACATGCTTGTAATTGTATAAACACAGCATCTGTTTTGCTATCCACCCCTTACAACGCAGGGTCCGGAGTGTATTGAGTTCAGACAATGGGCCTCAGTTTGAGGAGTGGGAGTTGAGCATATTTATGCCATGATGTTTAAACCCCTTCAAATATGAACAGCATGCATTTTTACCTGAAACCACATGTTCCTTGACAGCTTTCCCCCCCAACTTCTTTCTGCTAAAGAGATGCTGCAAAAGGCTGCTTCAGTTTCTGGTCCTGGTCAAGAGTTCCATTTCAAAGTCAGGACCGCAGTGTGTACAAGTCCAGCTAGTTAAGCCTGTACTGGAATCATTGTTGGAAAAACTGACAGCTTTAGCAGAGACACTACTCTAAACTGTTTATTAGACACATTACTACACAGAAATCTTGACACAATCTCAGTCTAGTACATATACTGTAGATACAGTACTCAGATCATTTTGACTCAGATACTGTACTCGGACATATTCTCATTAACAACTTGTCTTATTCTCTTGATAGGATTTTGTCCATCACTTCTCTGTGCTGCTCCCAGAAGGCACCAGTGCCACCAGAGAGGCCATCCAGCAGTGTCTAGACCAGCTGGACCTAGAACCAGATGGGTACCAAGTGGGGAAGACAATGGTATGCTCCACGCCCTCTCCTTTCCTCTTTGCAGTTCTTATAAATCAACTGGTGTTAGTGTGAGTTTTGATATAGTGCAAAAAGGTCAATCATTTGCTTTAATTACAAAGAATAATTAGATTTTCAGTTTCCATCAACACCAAAAGTACCATGCACAGTGAGTTAATTTTGCATAATCTGATTAATATGCTGTTTAGAATATATATTAGAATTGCAGGTTTAATATAGCTTCAGTAAAGTTTTGATTCAAATATAAAATATATGGTATGCAAAAAAAAAAGTTTATTTAAGAGGAATACCTTGGTTCACCAAGTTAAAGTCACCATGTATAATCCAAAAGTAAAATGAAAAAATGTCTTAGTGATTTTCTGTTGTCATTGTTTAGTGACAGTGACAGGCAAAGAAGATTTTAAGACTCATTATACTGTATGTTACTATGTGTAATTTTTTTTCTTTATTGGGTGTTGCTGTGTGTAAAGGCTGGAATTTGCCAGTCCAGTACCCAAAATTGTAAATAATGCAAGGTTTCAATGTTTGTTGCTCTATTAAATTGTTAAATTACACACACTATAAATAGAGTCAGGATGGGATGGTGTCGGAGATAACCTCATATTACCTGAAAGCATCCTTTGTCTGCACAAAAGGATGTAATGAAGACAGTGCCCCATATTTGGCTAAGTCCAAGGTATGAGTGAAGCATGATGGAGGGGTCCAAGCCTTTGGGATGCTGTTTATATAATTAGAGGGTCATACCTGACATTCCTGTGACCATATAGTCAGTCAGGGATTTGTGTGACTTTCTTTAAAAGAATGTCTGTATATCTCTTTGTAAGCAGATGAACAGGCTCAGTCTTCATTAAGTGTGTGTTGCCCTGTGATCCCTCCCCTCAGGTGTTTTTACGGGAGGCTGAGCGTCAGCGGCTGCAGGTCTTACTCCACAGGGAAGTTCTCAGACTCATCGTCATGCTGCAGCGGCGATTCCGAGCCTGGCTGGAGAGGAAGCGCTTTGTCAGGATGAGACGAGCAGCAATCTGCATCCAGGTACAGTACAGAGGTTTTCTTTGCCACTGCTTCTGTCTCCTCTCCCTTAATTTGTGTTTTCCTTCTGTGTGATTTAAATCACTTTTCATTAGTTTTGGTTTAGAATATGCTCCGAAAATTTGTTTTTACATTGGTTTTTACGGTGATTATTGCTTATGAATTTTAGTGTCATTGTGTGATAATATCATATCATATTATCTTAAAGTTTAATCAAATTCTGTTGTCAAAATGAATGAATGCAAGCAAATTTTAATTAAAACAAATAAATTAGTTTTTTTACAGTTTGTTATAGTCAGATGAAAAGTCTTTGTCTTCATATGTTTTATATATATATATATATATATGGAAAATGGTAATAATATTGTGGTAGTACAATGAAATGTGGTTTGGAATGAAATGAAAACATCAAGATGCATCAGCTGATATCAGAGATGTTTTGTTTTATATTAAGTTTTTGAAATGAAAATGATCTCAAGTTTAAGCTGTGAGAAGGACTTCAACTTGTTACTCACAGGCAAAAAAAACTAAACAAAAATAGGTTCTGACTTAAAGGGAAATTAAACATTATAGCATTGTTGAAAATACTGTATCATTATTTCCATTTTAGAAATGGTGGCGCTCATACCAGTCCATACAAGAGGACCAGGAGGAGGATTATGACCCTAGTGTCCAGGAGGGGGCGGTTCTGTGTCTGCAGAAGCACTGGCGAGGTTACAGGGAGCGTCAGAAGTTCAGGCGGTGGAGGGTGGCTGCTCTGGTCCTACAGAGGGCATGGAGGCTACGACTCCAATGGCGCTCCACAGCAGCTGTGGTTATCCAGACAGCCTGGCGCTGTCACCGAGCCAGAGAGGCATACTTCAGTGTATATGGCGCTGTAGTACAACTACAGGCACTTAGCAGAGGCTACCTTGCCAGACAGAGGTAAACCACTGTAAAACACCACACCTTACCCTGTGTAGTAGTATGGAAGCATATTGCTGCCATCCTCAGAAAAAATATTTGCCAAGTATCTAGTTTTTACGAGAACTTTTCATGTTAAAATGTGATATGCTTCATGTTATAATGAGATGCTGCATTTTCTGTTAATACTGATTACTTTAGTCAAATATAGTTTCAAATGTATGGCTCAAAGAACCCCATCTAATATTATAATGCACACTCTAGAAAGAATCATATCACTTCTACTCCCTAATGTGAACCGGCACAGCTTTTAGTCAGTGACGGCAGCGCACAGACCGACTTCACCTGCAGTCAGTAATGCTTGTAACATGATTGAGACGTGCAGGGTATCGTGGCTCATGAGCTGGTCATTGTGTGGAAGGTTGGTATGAGTGTTGATGAGAGAGAGAGAGAGAGAAGCTACTGGAGGGGTGCTCCAGCCGGTGCTGTGCATGATCTAATGTGTAATCTAATGTGATAACACTGACTCTAGAGTGGATAATTTCTACAGTTATTCTCAAAAACTGGTGTCATGCTAAGTTCTGCCTGTGGAGCATCGTGCACAGCACCAGCTGGAGCCACGCCTCCAGCAGCCTCTGTCTCTCATCAACACAGATACCAACTGTTTTGAATGCATGTACTAAAGTACTTAATATAATGCATGTACTAAAGTACTTAATATAATGCATGTACTAAAGTACTTAATATCCCATAATGGTGGTGTCCCCACATTCCCCTTTCTTATGACACCAACTTTCCACACAATGACCAGCACTGGGCTTAGAAGGTGTGCACCAGCTGGTTTGGCAAATAAACGCGCAATATTTGTTTGTCATTATAACAAGAAAAAACAGTATCTCATTATGATGAGAAAATACACTATCTTGTTATAATGTGAAGAATTTTAATGTAAAGTTTCTCTAAAAACAAGAAAAGTAGCTCATTACAATGGGAAACTTTCCTTATTATAACAAGATAATGAGTACATTTTTTTTCTCAGCGTGGCAGCTGTATAGTTGCACCAGTTCTCTTTTTTTTTCTTTTTGCTTGAGGTGTGCATGAGTTAATTTTAACAAAAGGGCTCCATACTATAAAAATGGATTCTAGCGATAGGTGACTAAAGCTGGTATAAAAAGAAGCAGAAAGCTAGTCTTGTAATCATGCCTATTTAATTGGCAGCTTCAAAACACTGAGAGAACAGAGACTGAGGGAGAAGAAGGAGCAACAAGAGGAGCTGCTCCATCTACAGAATGGTCAGGTGGGTTTCTCACCAGAAGAAGAGGAGGGGCCACCTGAGAGACTCATGGTGTTGGACCTCAGCACATGGGAGGATCGTTCCTATAAGCAGCGAGAAAGGAGCCTCAGAATCCTCAGCAGCAACAAGGGCACAGCTAAGGAGGAAGAAAACAATGCTAGGACAAAAGGTAGCTCTTCTAAAGAGCTAGGTGAAGCATCGGCCTCAATGACAGCATCCACTGTGGTGGTGCGAGAGAAGACCGGAACTGTAGATGAGCCCAGCCAGAAAACAACTTGGTCCAAGAGAGCAAGCCGCCGGATGAGAGAGTTGGAGCAGGCCAAGTTCAGCCTGGAGCTCCTCAAAGTCCGGGCCACCGGCAGTGGAGCCTCGTCCCCATCTGAAGAACGGTGCCAGTCTGTCGAGCTGATTCCCCCTGCAACCCCACCTCTTTGTTCACCCCAGGGCACGCCTGACAGCCAGAGCTCCAAAGGCAGCTTTGAGCTTCTCAGTATGGATGAGGCTACAGAAGAGGTAACAGACAACGAGGACCCCTGCTTCCCTCTTGCATCTGTAGCTCCATTACCTGAGCCTAATGTGGAAGCTGTTTCAACAAGCCTGAAGCCAGTTGGGGTTTCTGATGCTGTTGCCCATCCAAGCAGCCAGGGCCAGACCAAAGTGGATCTGGCAGTACCCTCTGCCCCCACACGTCCGCCCAAAATCGAGAACTACCTCCCTACATTTTATGCCCCTGTTAGCAATGACAGCTCTCCTTGTCCTTCTGAAGAGCCTCAAAAAAGCACAGAGGCAGCTGCCTCTACAACCACCACCACTGTTACCAAGCCTGTCAAAGAATGGCAAGAATCAATACATCAATCATTAGAGGTGGTGATCAGTTTGCAGAAAGAAAGCCCACTAAGTGATATTGTCGGCCCCCGTGTTGAGGTTCGAGATTCTGCAGCCCAGACAGGGGAACTGACCCCATCGCCACAGGAACCAGACCCAGCTCCTGTGCCCCAAAGTACTGTCCTTACTCCTTCTGTCATTGAGAAACTGGTGCGGCTGAATCAGAAGAAAGAGGAGAGGCTGCGTAATCAGCAGCAGCAAAATGAAAAGGAGATGATGGAGCAGATAAGACAACAGAAAGAGGTGCTGGAGCGGCAGCGCCTTTTCTTCGCTCAGCATGAGAGGGACATGTTTGAAAAACAAAGAGAAGAAGCTCTGCACAGAATACAGCAGAGTCGGCAAGGTGGACAAGATGCTGGGGGAACTGCGGCCTCTGGAGACCCCCTTAGACTCAGATCCCTGCTGGCTGAGAGAACAGCAGGACTAGCATTTTATTCTATAACACAGTCAGATCCCACTGCCCCATCAGTGCACTCTCCCCCAAGTGTACCCATCCCAGTCAGTGCACCTCACCCCCAGTTGTCCCCTCCCCCTGCTTGTGCTCCCAAAGAAAGACAGAAGGCTGTCAAGCCTGGTGCCGAGGGCTGGGCACCCAAACTTAAGCTGGAGTCCCGAGGTGGAGGAGGAACCAAACTGATGAGAACAACTCCCAAGAAGCCGCCAAGTAATCAAGGCACCACAGTTGGTAGGCCAGAGAAGTCAGGCAACATCTTCTTCTCTCCGAAGGACAAAGTGACATTTACAAAGTGAGTAATGCGTTAGTATCTAGGGCTTTTTTTTTTGGCTTGTGCTATGTATGTTTTTTCTTTCAAGAACATTTTTTTGCATTTGGTTCAGTTCATTGTAGGACTAATAACAATGCATTAGTGTACACCAGGAGGAATAAACAATACCACAAAAGTACATTTATTACATTAAGGGGTAAATAAATCAAGCTGCCATTTCAAATAAGATAAATAACTATAAAGAATCATGGAAATCTAAATTGTTTCCACAATATGGATTTGATGCAGGAACACAGATGAATGAGCTGAATGTAACAAGTTGTCTGCAGTTTTTAGCTTATTTTTCTGAAAAACTATTGGACCAGTATATAAAAATGCCTGGCTGACTCTGAATGAACTCTTTACATTACTAGCAGAAGCTCTTATCCTTTCAGGTTTGACAGTGATGCTGTCACTGAAGACACACCTGTATTCATATCCATAGAAGGGCCCGCATCAGTCTCCAAACCTTCTAAGGGAATAAAAGTACGGGATGTAAGCAATATTTCTTTGTTCTTTTTAGAAAATAGATGTGTGTGCAACTTTGCGGGAGTGCCTTTTATATGCTGTGAGTGAATTAATTCATCTTGGCAGGATAGCTCCCATCTTACGTTAAAAACGACGTGAAGAACAAAATGCACTGACGTGAATGATTAAAGGCTCCTTTGTTATCACTTCTGGTAAACTCCAGGTTGGCAGAGCGGGCCAAAAAAAGAAAGCCAGAATGGCACGGACGCGCTCAGACTTCCTCACCCGCGCCCCTCTCGCCTCACTCAGGGGCGATTCAGACGAGGAAGACTATGATGGCGACAGCCCCCATCATTATGCTCTCCCCTACTCCAAACAGAGCTCCACCGAGGCAGGCTTAGGAGAGTCCTGTTTCAGTGACTCAGACATGGTAACAGGCGCCGTCCAAGCCATCAGTGGCCCATCTCTAGATGTCTAGCTTCTCTTTGACACTTCTAACCTCGCTGAGTAGAGAGCGACAGATCTACATTATATCTCTGACTCCAACTGAGCTTCAGCACACTTCCCTTTCTAATAATGCACAATATCTTTTCATAGTCCTGGAAGACATTTCAAAGGTATTTCAAAGACTTTTTGAAATACCTGCTAAAACGGTGTTGTGTAATAACAAATACAGTAAACACCATCATTGCAGCAGAAGAATAAACACACAGTGATTTCACGTATGATACAAATATGCATGTCTAATTTTAACCATAAATCCAGTGTTTCACAGGTTTGATAACCTCTCCATATGAACACTGAATGTTAGTTTGACTTTATATATCATGCTACTGTAGATGCAGGACTGTTTTTGAAATGTGTTTTCCCTTAAAGCAGTTAAGCCTTTAATATAGTTGCTTTTCTAACATGATTTGACTTCTTACTTTCATAGCACAAAATCACAAAAGAGTGATTTTCCTTCTTTAACAATATGTTGCTTATTTATATTTCCTCTTCTAGCATGTTGCACTAGTCATTAGTCAAAGCTTCGCTCTCAACTTTCTTCACCGTTTGACAAACTCCTGTCATTTACTGATTCTTTTCCTGGAAAACTCATTCCTTGTGTTGTATGTTGTCAACAAAGAGTCAAACAGTTTGACTCTTCAGAATTCATGTTTCAGTGGTATTATCTATTGTGACTACTATGAATAGCATTTATAGTTATACTGATAGGTACAGTAGAAGTTAGGTCTCTGGTTGAATGTCCAGTGTAGCTGGAGTAGCTTCAGTGTTGTGATGCTGCCATCTACTGGCTTGAACTTGTCCTCATATCATAATATAATCTGGAAATGCACAATAGAGAAGCTCTTCTTCTGTGTTGCCATGTCTTTAACATGTTGCTCCATGTGATGTTGTTTCAGCCTGCAAGCTCCGAGGAGCAAAAGAAGATGCATAAAGCCATGTCATCAGGAGATGGGGGCAAAGCAGACTCTCTGACCAAGAGCTCACAAGATGGAAGGTTTGTTAAAGCTATTTAGATTTTATTCACAAAATCAGCAATCAATGAATTTTTAGAAATTCAGCTTGAATTTTGAACAGGATTCGTGGTAAGATGCGTTTCTGGGGTAAGACCAAGCACAGGGATAAGAAGACATCCAGAGAAAAACTGCTATCTGGGGCTGATTCCTTGGATGGTGACTACGCGGACACTGGTCTGTTACTGGGAGAAGGTGTGTTATCCAAATACATCCATTTCAAGGACTTTCATACATCGGAATATTACACAATAGGAGATGATAAATGCTGAAATCCTGTCTTTTTTTTTTTAAAAGCTCAAATGAAACTCAAGTTCATTTGTACTTTCATTCCCACTGAACTGTCACTGACTTGGATTCTCTTCCAACACAGCAGGCCAGGAAAACCTGTCGCCCCCTTGCAGCCCTGATCTGGCATCAGATCAAGGGTTCAAAGACTCGAGGGAAAACAGGGAACCATCTCCCAAGATAAAACGAAGGCGCAGTGTTAAGATCAGTAATGTGGCTCTAGAACCTGCTCAGTGGCAGAATGACGCGCAGCAGATTCTCACCAGCATCAGTGACTACAGGAGCATGAATGACTTCCTCATGAAGAAGGTACAGCCAAACATGGTTCATATGGGTAAAGATCATATGTTTTTCCAGTGCATTTGAACATCAAAAATCTTTAAGAGTAATTCCAGATGAACACAGTGTACTTTTTTAGGGTTCCTACAGATCCTTAAAAATATTACACCTGATTTAAAAAGTTTGTCTTAAAAGCTCTTATTTTTACTCATGAGATGTCTTAAATTTTGAGATGAAAGACTAACTGGGACATGTCTGAATACTATATCAAATCTATATTACTGTATTTTTTAACATTGCAATCTTTTATTACACATTTTTATGGATTTGCATGCATCGCTTGAATTTATGTGACTTATACAATACATATACTGTCTCCAAGATTGACGATGAAGCTAAAAACATGCCGAGATGCAACCTAAGGAAATTCGGCTCTAAGATGAAAAGTAGGCTACCAGGAACGGTTAGCTGTCGCAAGTAACAATTTGAGGCAACTTACGACAGGAGCCGAAAAATGTTTAGACTTTGGGTAATGGGAATTCCATATGAAATCAAAAAAAGCACAGGTGTTTTGCTGGTATTTGAAAATGTATGGCACCAATGTTGTCTTGCATGTCTGCTGCCACTACATTGTCAGCTCCTGCTGGATCAGAGACTATACAGGTACACTATTATAATAATAAATCCCACTGTGATGAATGTTATATTGTTGAGCTTTCTGTTACAGCTGTATGAGTAGTGGGGATTGTGGGTTTTGGTAGTGTTGAATTTCACTGGCTTATACTGAGGTGTTTCTAAAATCTTATTTGCCCTGTTTATATCAATGGGAGTTGCTAAGAAACAAACCACAGCATGAAAAGCAATCACAAAATTTAAGTGATTGCGCTTGTCTCTTACCAAAACACCATAACAATACACATTGTCCTCTCCATTATACATGATTCTACTGTTACACCCACAAACTGTATGGTCACACCAGTAATTGCCATCTAAATAAGCTTTTGCTTTAGGGCATATATATTACACTATACCATGTGTTATGCATATATGGACTACATGATCATATCTGTTTGATATTTGATCATTTTATTTGAATGAAAAATGGTTACACATGCTGTACCTATGTGAATTTACATTTCTTCTGTTGTAGAAATGGTTTTTTTTTTTCTGTTTTGGTCTTAAAGGATTTTAAAAAGTGTGCAGCAACCCTGCTTTATGGGTGTTAAGTTTATTTTTACTAATCCTTGTAGAGTTACAGGTAGCCCATATTCGTGCTAAGATGACTGCTGTGTCGTATTTCAGATCAGCGACTTGGACACGGAGGACAGTAAAAAGGACACCATGGTGGATGTTGTGTTTAAAAAGGCTTTGAAGGAATTCCGTCTTAATATCTTTAATTCTTACTCCACAGTGCTTGCGGTAAGTGCTTTCAGCTCTCTTTACATAACCATTACAATTATAGCCACCATTTGGAAATATCAGGTGGTATCCTTCCTCAAGCAACTGACTAGAAACTCAAATTTGTCCTCAAATCACTACTTTGAAATGACAAGATAGTAAGTTCATAGAATAGTTAGACGATCTTGTATACTGGAACATCATTTCAAAAGGAGATAAATACATACTGTGCTCTTCCTGTTAACCCATTCGGTCCCTCTTTAGATGGATGATAGTAAAAGTATCCGCTACAAAGACCTCCATGCTCTGTTTGAGCACATTTTGGAGAAGACCATGCGACAGGAGCAGAGAGACTGGAGCGAGTCTCCGGTCAAAGTGTGGGTCAACACATTTAAAGTCTTCCTGGATGAGTTCATGACTGAATACAAGCCTCTGGACAGCACCCTCAGCAAGGTAAGGACACGTAACAGGCTCCTGACTGCCCAGGAAAGCTGAGACAGTTAAGGATTTTGGATGAGATTATTACATTTATTACATTACACTGAAATGTTTACATTTTGTGCTGCTTTAAATAAATTCCGGTTTGAGACAGTGTTAAAGAAGAACATACCATATGTATGCAGTAATTAAGCTTTTTTAGGTGTCAAAGTTTTCAAGTATCTTTATAAACTTTAAATGTCATGTACTGTGGTGTACATGAACCTTAGGGTGGTTAGTTTCCAAGAGTTTAGAGATCTGATCAGTACTGTGTATTTCTTTATAATGCTTGCATCTATGGTGGTGTATCTAATATTAAAACACATATGCTGTTTTGTGTGTGTGTGTGTGTGTGTGTGTTTTTTTTTCTACAGCAGATACCAAAACTTGAAGGGAAAAAACGGAGGCAAAAGGACACTGACATTGTAAGTCTTGGTTTATATTTGTCAGCCAAATACATAATCTTGTTCAGAACAGAAGACAGACAACATTGGGAACTGTAGAGGACAACAGCCAGTCCTCTACAGCTCCATTTGACCAGTGACCAAACATAAAAGGAAGTTTGTGAGTGAACTCCAAATGAACCTGTGCTCTGCTGCTCTCTACAGGTGGAGGAGCATAACGGCCACATCTTCAAGTCCACCCAGTATAGCATCCCCACATACTGTGAATACTGCTCATCTCTCATCTGGATGATGGACCGTGCCTGTGTGTGTAAATGTGAGTGTGCATACAACATATCACACCAGGGGCTGCTCAATTAATTGAGCAGTCAATTCGCAGAAACTGAATACGCAATTTTAATAGTCAAGTAATTGTTTTAGTAATTTATAAAGGAGAAATTCCTTGTAATCGCTCGTTCCAGTTTCTTGCTTGTAAAGTTTTGCTGCTTTTCTCTACTTAACATAACTGTAAATTAGGCAACAAACACCCATTACCTTCACAGAGATGCTCGTACACTCACACATACACACAAACAGAGCATGTATGAGCTGTGTTCAGTCTGGCTTCAGAGAGCAAGCTTCACCTTCCCTCCCTCCTCAGCCCTGATCAGATTTTCAACTAGACTCATGGGGTCTACAGCTCCATGTCTCTAGGGATTTCTCCACACAGTTTGTCCTTTATTTGCACAGGATGTTTTCTCCATGTCAGCCAATACGGTTTTGGTCTCTCAAGTAATAACATGTTTTTTGCTTTTGTTCCAACCTTTGCTGAATAATGAGGAAGCACTGCCTCTGTGTGAATAATGGAAATGACCTGTTTGATTTCTCTGGCTGTGTTTGTCCAGTGTGCCGCTACGCCTGCCACAGAAAGTGCTGCCAGAAAACAACCACCAAGTGCAGTAAGGTGGTGAGTCAGCGATATTGCAAACCCACACAATAATGTCCCATGACATTAGTAGTGTTACTGTGGATTTATGTACAGTAGTATTATTTCTAATACACTGGCTGCAATGGCTCCTAAAAGACAGCACTTGATGGGCTGAGGATGTACTGTATATTTTTCTGGAACATTACTGTGCCAGTTTTTATGCATTTTAAAATACTGGTCTTTATTGCTGTGTGCATGTGTATACACAATATATCTATGTTTATATCAGTGTATTATGTTGTCTGAGCAGTTTGATCCGGAGCTTACCCCCAGACAGTTCAGCGTGGAAGTCTCTCGTCTGACTAATGATGAGAGGACGGTGCCCGTGGTAGTGGAGAGGCTTATTAACTACATTGAGATGCACGGTCTGTACGCTGAAGGCATATACAGAAAATCTGGGTCCACCAACAAAATTAAAGAACTTAAGCAGGGACTCAACACAGGTAACTTTTGTTATAGATTATAGTGTATACAGTAATGCTAGCTGGCTTTTAAAGCTGCAAAACATGGGTAGGACAGGGTGTTGATCTGGTTTGTCTGCATTCTTGTGACTATACAGATGTGGACAGTGTGAATCTGGATGATTACAACATCCACGTCATTGCTAGTGTTTTTAAGCAGTGGCTGAGAGACCTGCCTAATCCTCTGATGACATTTGAGCTGTATGAGGAGTTTATACGTGCCATGGGTAAGTAGTCAACATCAGATGTCCAGCGCCAAGTGCTTCAAATGCATCACACTGGAGGTTCTGTCCATGAAAACAAGCTATTATTGCAGACAGTAGAAGATATATTTGGTTGTCAAAACAAGAAATGGTCATTTATTTTGTTGGGAATGCCTCTCTAGGTTTGCAGGATAAAAAGGAAACGATCAGAGGAGTGTATTCAGTTATTGACCAGCTAAGCAGAAGTCACCTAAACACTCTTGAACGCCTCATATTTCATCTTGTCAGGTAATAACAAATCTGTTTTTAGAATACTTTCAGAGAAGGATTAATACATGAGACTGCTTTGCTTCCTCTCTGATAGGCTATTCTAATGCTGAATTCATGCTTTTAGGATTGTCTTGCAAGAGGAGACAAACCGTATGTCTGCAAACGCTTTGGCAATAGTTTTTGCTCCTTGTATCCTGCGCTGTCCCGACACCATCGATCCACTGCAGAGTGTCCAGGATATCAGCAAGACGACTGCGTAAGAATATATTGTACTTGGGTCTATCAAATGAATTGTATGCCTTTGCCTAAGGCAGTGGTTCACAGTGAACCATCAAACGGCACACCGAGGCATTTCAGTGGGGGCGCATGTGACCAGGAGGAAAAATTGGAGTGGATCTAAAATTACACGAATCAAAACAAAACACTCACAAACTTGTACTTATGTGCACAAATTAAAGAAAATCCTATATGTAGACATCCCCCATGTGTGTTGGAATTTTGTAGTTTTGTAAAAGACAAAACAAGGACGATTTATGTAGACGGCAAACATACAGTGTGGACACATTTGTTTGGAAGAAAAGAAGTTTGACAAGTGTGCTGGTTAAAACCATGTCACCTGAAATTGTTCTTAGGTTCACTGTCATTGTAGCAGCCTGGTGGTGTTCATGTCTAAAAACTCACAGTACAACTCGCACCATAGTAATATTATTTCTATAGAATAATGGTGCTTTGCTACAGATTTTCCCAATAATAGTTGAATAATAGTTAAATGAATGGAATGAAAGTGTGGATTTTTCTGTTTCCAAAGAGGAAGGGGAAATACAAAGCACATATTGTACTGTATAAGTGAAACTGGTTTTAAAAGGGTTTGTCTTTTGATTAATGTAATATAAACTCAACTTTGTAACACTGAATATTTTCAGTTTTTGAAGTGGGTTTGTCTGTTGCCATCCCTTCGTAGGTGTGTAGAACTGATCATTTGTGAACAGATGAACAAGTACAAAGTACGACTAAAGGACATCAGTACCCTGGAGTTTGCTGAAAATAAGGCCAAGTGCAGGCTGACCTTTATCAGACGGTCAATGGTAAGATCGAATAATATGACTGTTACCAGAATTACATATTTAAAGTGACTCATTGCCAAATCTGCCTCATTGAGCCATCCTGTAAGCTCCTTCAGTGCTGTGCCTTCTCCCATTTACACCTTTTGAAGCACTTTTCTCCTCTCTTGCACTTTCCTTTACCTAGACACCTGTATTAATAGCTGTTAGATTTATGAGCATAGCATGCACTATGGTATGTAAACACACACCATGGGGTACAGCCCCAAACTACCACTCACTGGTGTCGTGGTACTGATCACTGCACATCTTATCTCTACAGATATTAACGTTCATCTTCTCCTTTACTAAAGCATGACTTTGCTTCTCTGCTTGTTTTTCTTTTGTTTTTTATTCCTTTTAATTTTCTGTCTCTTGTGGATTAAAATAATGACAGGGTGCAATCATGCAGCGTTGAGTGTGGAACACAGAATGTGAACACTTTTACCATATCGTATTTTTGACAGAAAAAATAAAGTTTGCAAAACTTTGTAGAATTTTATCAAATACTGCCTGAAGAGTTTACATCAGTGCTTCACTCATAACATGTCTAAAATATGGAATTGAAGAATATGATTTTTGTTTTTTGTCATTACTGTCTCTGGATGAATTGCAGGCATACAGTAAATCATAAGTTGTTTACCCAACCGTGCCAAGCAAATGTCATGACACGGTGTTTTTACTGTATGATTAACTTCACTTCTGAGAACTGAGACTCTGAGGAAAAGCTATGAGGCAGCAAATCAACTATTAATAAGATTTTTATGAACTTGGTATCACTGGTTCCTGTTCTTTTTGCCTTTCACTTTTGCTTTAAACAGTCAAATGCCAGTAAAAAGGTAAAGTTTGTGTGCATGATTGAACTCTACGTATCTTAGGATTTAATCAGTCTTTCAGTGTTGCCATACCTTTTTTTTGCCTCCACCCCCCACACCCCTTGTCTGGCCATTTCACTTGGTTCAGTCACTGTATGCGTGAGTGTCTGCTGGTCAACTGCCTTTTTTTAAGAAGCACAAATGTAATGTACATATTGGTGAGGAAAAAAAATCTGCCCATGATTTGCTCTCCAGGGAAAAGGCCATGTGCAGCGACGAAGCTACCACATGCCTTCGCCTCCAGTTAGTCCCCAGCTACCATCTGCGGCTAGTACTGTGATAGAGAGTGGCAGTGAAGAGGGAGCAGAGTCATTTGCCGAAATCTCAGAGCATCAGCAGACAGCTATGCAGCAGGAAGAGAGAGAGTTGACGGAGCAAATTGAAACTCTGCAGAAAGAGAAGTAAACGCCATCATCGCACTTAAATTGTTCTGAAAATGTTACATGATCTGTAATTTACTCAGAATTACAAAACTATGCAACAGTGTATCCGAAGAACAACAATTTTGTGTGCACTGTTAATGTTGGCATTGTCTCCTCGTGTGCAATCAGCTCATTTGTTAATCTGGGCCGTGTTTATCTCTGCAGAGAGGAATTGACTTTTGAGATGCTGGCTTTGGAGCCACGAGCATCAGATGACGAGACCCTGGAGTCTGAGGCCTCTATCGGTACAGCGGACAGCTCTGAAAACCTTAATATGGACTCTGAGGGAATCATTTCTGACTTCTCCGGTATGTGATTATACAGCAAATTGTAATTCCCCTTTCAATTTTTTTTTATGTACATTCGAGGAGAAGAGAAAAAAAGACAACCTTGTCATTGCAGAAAGATATGCAGTGTCGACATCCGCCTGGCATCGGAGATCTGACAGAAAGAGCCCCCAACGCCGCACTCTCCATCGGCAGCCTGACTCACTCGATTCTGTAGACTCTTGCTCCAGTGTTTCCTCTTACTCCTCCTCGTCACAGTTCCACCCATCATCCACTTCCTCCTCTGCCACCACTAGGCGCCTTCATTTCCACTCCAAGTCTCCCTCCCTAGAGTCAGGTCCAGCCCAGTCCCAAGCACAGGCTTTAATGTTATCTCAAGCATCTCAATCCAACAGTATAGACAGCAACCCCACAGGAGATCAGGAAAGCATGTATGATGAAAAGCCCCAGTTTACCAGCCGAGGCACTTTCAGTCCAGAGAAGAGCAAACAGAAAGTTAAGGGGGCTAAGTATTCGGCCCCGAGACACTCCAGAGAAGGAGGCAGCCATGGGAAGGACCCTCCCAACTTATCACAGCAGGTTGCAATGTATGGTAGTAATGAATTCATGGTATGAAGGACACTGGGACACCAAAGCACTCCCCATCCAACTCCTTGGCAGGGATGTAAGTTCTCAAAGTACTCTTGCCTTCCCCTTTCTTTGTTGAAGTCTACAAAGAAGTTTCCCCAAGTGCCATGTACAGCGTTTCCACCTCCAAAGTGGGGAGATATTTGGCAGAGGGACAGGAATCAGTTGAAGGGTTCCTCTTCCATGAACTAATACCACCCGTGTTCAAGCAGTGCCTTGGCAGTGCCCTACTCAGCACCAAGAGGAGGACACAGAAAAGGGAAAGTTGGAATATGTGGAAGACCATTCTGAATCAGGGAATGTTATGGAGCTGTAATGCTGAATCAGTGTACTAAATTAAATAAAAAGAAAAGAGGGAACTTGAGACATTACGGATGTTACAGTGAACTTAAAAATCACAATAATTAGCTGCTTTATAAATTACCGTGAGTCTTAGTAGTGGTTGCTCTTATGATTTTTTTTTTCCTTTATTTAATAAATTTTAATGTCATTGAAATTCTTTATAGCATATAATATACAGGGAAACTGTACAAAGCCAGAGCACCGGCCGCTGCTGGGTGAGTGAAGTCAAATATTTATCTTTTTTTTTTTTTTTTGGGTATTTCGAACAGGGTTGTTTGGATTTG